TGGAAACTTTGATAAGGTTTGATGGGTGGGTAAGAGAAGAGATGATTGTTGAAGAGTGAGAATTTTAAAGTTTCAGTTTTTTTAGAGTTGACTGGCAAAGTAAGATCTGGGCTGTGTCTGAAGGTGTGAACTTGAAGATAAAGGTCATAAAGTTGAGAAAGGCAACGGATGCCAAGGTGAGGCTGGCTGGAACAATGACTAGGTATACTGTATAGAGGAAGAGTGGGGACAAACCACTAGTTCTCAATGAACATCTGGGAGTGACCTAGAGAAGATGGTGAAGAGTGGATCAAACATGGCACTAGTGAATACTGACTCAGTGCTATTGAGCAAAGGCTGCCAAGAGTAGAGAAAAATGAGGATGATTTGCCTATTTTCTTATACATTTTTAGTTCTTGACCTCTATTACCCAACTGCGTACTGAAGATATCCTCTGGAATATTCTACAGACTTTGTGGTTAGCAGGTCAAACTTTTCTAGATGAACATGTTTTCCCGAATCCCAGTATTGTTCTTCTCCTGTTTTGAAAAATTTAGATAGGACAATCTCTGTTCATTCAGACAGTGATTCTAAAAATTAAGAAATGAAAGTAATTATTGCCACTCTTTCTTCTTCTCCAACAGACTGCTTCCTCTCCCACTTTGAGGGCTGTCAATGTGCTCATACACTCAAACCAGTGAAGGAAAAAGAACCACTGTACAGTCAGACAAATCTATGTTTGAATTCCAGCTTAACCATTTCTACTTTGAATGTTATTGTTGTTAAGCGCTGTCGAGTCGATTCTGACTCATAGTTACCTTGTATAAGGTTTCCCAGGAATGGCTGGTGGGTGTGAACCACCGACCTTGTGGTTAACAGTCCAGTGCTTACCCTAGAGTGCCACATCAGGACTTCCTCCTTTGAATGGTCTTGAGCAAATAAGTATTCGAAACCTTATCTTCTTCTTCCATAAAATGGGACTAGTATTAATCTCAGAGTTTGTATCAGTTACCTCGCGCTGCCATAGCAAAAGACACCACAGCTTTAAAGAAGAGAAATTTATTTTACAGTTCTGGAGACTAAAAGTCCAGATCAGAGTCTTGGCCATATTGGTTCCTTCTTTAGGCGTCTCTCCTAGTTTCTGGATATTGCTGACAATTGTTTTTTTGCTTATAGGTAATCACCACATGACATCTATCTGTCTATTCCACTCTTTTACAAACTAACACTCAGAGGGATTAGGTTTAGGACCCACCACAATCTGGCACGGCCTCATTAACATAACAAAACCCTTTCATTTCAAATAGGGTCCTATTTACAGGTCCAGGGGTTCCAACTTTAACACTGCTATTTGGGAGAAAGAATTCAATCTGTAACAGGGTTATTTTGAGATTTAAATGAATTCATGAAGGTAAAAAATCAGCACAATATTTGGCAAATAGTACTTGCCATGAAAGTTTCAAAGACTGTTTATTTTGGAAATCTTTCTTTTGACTTCATTTGTCTGAAAAACTTATGACCATATTTCCTACTTTTTTATATTCACTGTGAACATATTTCTTAAAATTTATGAATGCTTTGATGATTACAAACATATTAGTAATATTCATTTTGACTAGTAAAATTTATCAAGTAATTTTAACTGTATCCAACCATGTCTGTTAGACTAGAAATACCTACCAATTAGCATATGTAAAGCTCTTATATAAAATTCTCACTAATTAATTCTAATTCATAAATAAGATGACGCTATCAGCATCATACCTTCATTTAAAAAACAAGATGAAACTCTAAACAAAATATCCTCACCTACATGGTACTACTGGAATGAATATTAACACTTAATCATGGCTTACTTTTATTACTAAAATTTTGAGGATGGAAATATGTAATAGCTAGGGTTTGAAAGCAGAGAAAAACAAACTGCTAGAGTTGTTGGCTCCTGTGGTTTAATGGATTCCCCTATCCCACCTGTCAAACTAATAATCATATTCTCTTCTTACTAGTCCCTTCTTAGAACTAAATTCAAGGTCTCCTTATCCAGGGCAAAGGTTCAGCATGAGAGGGAAAATAAGGGCATTACTAACCCTGACTATTAAACAGCAAAATCATTTCCACTGTTTACTATCTGCCCTGTCATCCTTTCAGCACCTCTTCCATATCCTGGGCCTCTTTCCCAGGCTCCTCCTACTATTACAATTGAACCTGAATGTTTATATTAACAAATACATCTACGTGATTGGGGAAAACTTTGAACTATGAAGGCAGCAGATAGATGGAAGCATAGTTTGTGTAGCTACTTGGCCAAAGATTGGCCAGGAAGGGAAAAAAAAAATGTAATACTATCTTTTTTCCATGAAGAGCAGCAATGGCAGAGTTGGGTTAGGATTAAAACTGATTGAAATTTAATAGCAGATATTTGAATAGCCAGTGGTGCTTTTGACTAAAAGAATAAAAATAGGAAATGATTAAGAGGTAAATGGCCACATTGCTTGTCCTTCCAAATTCTCTATATTCCACCCTGATGTACTAACTGTCCTTGGTCTGTCTACCATAGGTAGATTAGTACTAGTATCAGCTGTCTTGGAGTTGATTCATAGCTACCACTGTGTGTCAGAGTAGAACTGCATTCCACAAGGTTAGCAGTGGCTGGTTTTTTCATAAGTAGATCACCAGGCATTTTACCTGAAGTGTCTCTGTGTGGACACGAACCTCCAACCTTTTGGTTAGCATCTGAGCATGTTAACCAGTTTCTCCACTCATGGACATAGGTAGACTGGGCATCCATTACAAAAGCCAGAAAATCTGTGTTGTGTATTCAAAAAAATTCATTATTTGCAATTAGAGAGCTATTAGGAAAAATGGAAAAGAAGTGTTCACATCATACTTGCAAACAAAAGTTTACCTCTTAAAGGACAAGAGTACTGGTATATATGGGTCAAAAAAAAAAAAAAAGTGAAGGGACAAAAGCTCCAATTAAAACAAAAACAAACTTGAGAAACCACATTGTTTGTTATAATATACAGAACTCCAAAATAAATGGGATTGGGTCTATCTATACTAGATCTTAACTCTTTGTATCACATACTAGAGAAATGGGATTCTAGCTCCCCTGCCAAATCATGGGCCCTTGTTTTCCCTGTGGCCTAAATGAATCCCCAGTCTACAGCAAATGCTGAGCAAGGTGTCTAATTCTTTCAGGCCACTAGGGTAAGTACTATTCCTGGAAACTCTGTGGGCAGGGTTTTCTAATTCTCTTTGGTGATTTGGTTCTGTGGAAACTGAGATTTTTCTTTCATTATTTCAGCCAGATAAACAGGAAAGGCCAGCTCTGGTCCTGACATAGAGCCAATCAAGATCAATTTCAGTCCCTTTCTGTATAGTTTAGGCTACTCTTTCCCTACTATCTTTCCTGACATCTGCCCTTACATTTTTATCTGATTCTCAAATATCTGGTGAGAGAACATTTGGCAATATCTGATGCTCACCCACTCATTCAAAGGCTTTCAGGCCAAAGAAAAACATGAATACACTGCAGAACAGTGTTCTTGAGAAACCAACTGAAGACCCCTAGCTGTAAACTCCACAGACATGTTTTCCATGAATATTTTGAGGGTGAGGAGCAAACCAATGCCTGCTCTCTCCAGACAATACTGATTTATTTACTAAATTTACAATATTTGGCTTTCAATGCACCTACCATACCCTCAGTTATAATTTAACATGGAAATGGAAAGACAGATATTGTCATTTCCCTTTGGAAGATGGTGAAATAAATTTAAAAGTTTTAAAAGTGTTGTCTAAAGTAAATTCAACAAAGCAGAGTTGTAGCTGGAAAGTGGATCAGCAGACACCTGTCCTGGGTTTTGTAGGTCACACACTCTTTGTAAGCTTAGAGAAGTGTTTTACTTACCATATTCTTCCTTGATAGCTTCTATTTACTCTCTTAAACTGTAGATACCAGTGGAGAGGTATCAAGTGTACATTCCAGATACTTCTACAACACACAGAGACTGAGCCTTCTGCCTGTTGGCTACACAGCTCCAGGCTGAGGAATTTCTAAAGTTGTTAAAAGAACAAATTCAGCACTAAGGGGGAACGGGCAAACATTAACAACACCCTTAGTTATTACAAATTAAAAAATTAACCTCTTTTTTCTGTGCTTTTTCAAACAGCATTGCTCGCCCCCAGCCCATGCGTCAAATAAATGCAAACACATGTGCATCGAAATGGGTAGGTGTAAAAGAACATTCTGCACAATTTTATCTAGGCTGCCACAGATTTATATCACATGCATACATATATCTGGGGAATATTAATTCAGGATGACAGCTGAACAAGACAAACGCAAGAGAACACAAGCTGAAATGCCAAAAAATAAAAAAGGAGCTACAAACCCCATGCAGACAAACACATATGTGTACATGAGTTTTCTCTCAACACACACGTGGCCGCACTTACAGCAGCTTAACCACATTAAAAAACCCTAAACAAAAACACAGTTGGCTCTGCAGCCCGCAAGCCGGCCCCAGTCCTGCAGTCGCGCCTTCATCTATGGGCAGAGATTCTCAAGCGCCACGGGTATACCCGTCCTCATATCGGCATCCAGCGGCGCGAACACACGCACGCCACGGGTACCGGGTACCGGCCCTCCCCCCGCGCCCGCCCGAAAGAGAGGTTGCAGCTCGGGGGCTGGGAGCGCGGGGCAGGCGCGCCACGGGGATGGGCCTCGGCGCCCAGGGAGGGGACGAGGGGCGGGCCCGGGGCGGTGCCCGGCTCACGTGGGCGGGCGGGAGCAGCTGAAGGTCCGCTCCGGAGCCTGGGCTGTCCTCTCGCGCGCAGCGCTGGCCGGGGCGGCGGCGGCGGCGGCGAAGGAGGAGGAAGAGGAGAAAGAAGGCGGTGGCGGCGGTGAAAGAGGAGGGGAGGACGGGGGCGGCGTCGGACTGGAGCCGAGCAGCGGCGCGAGCTGCCCGGGGCTCTGTCTTGAGCTCGCCTGCCAGGCCCCCACCCCCAACCTACACCCTGCCGTGCCCAGCTCTGCCCGTGTCCGTGCCCCTGCGGGGAGCGCGCCGGGGCTGCCCCCCGAATGACGGGCGGAAGGTTCGACTTCGACGATGGCGGCACCTACTGCGGCGGCTGGGAAGAGGGCAAGGCGCACGGGCATGGCATCTGCACGGGGCCCAAGGGCCAGGGAGAGTACTCGGGCTCCTGGTCGCATGGCTTCGAGGTGGTCGGCGGCTACACCTGGCCCAGCGGCAACACCTACCAGGGATACTGGGCACAGGGCAAACGGCACGGGCTGGGGGTGGAGACGAAGGGCAAGTGGATGTACCGGGGGGAGTGGTCACATGGTTTCAAGGGGCGCTATGGGGTCCGGCAGAGCCTGTGCACCCCCGCTCGCTACGAGGGTACCTGGAGTAACGGGCTGCAAGACGGGTACGGCGTGGAGACCTACGGGGATGGAGGTGAGCGGCGTCGCTGGCGGCTCGGCTGCTCTTCGAGGTGGTGTGGAGGGCTTTGCCCAGGCTACGGGGAAACGGGGAGGACTTGAGGCGCACGTGTCCGGAAACCCGCCAAAACACCTGGAAGCCTCCCATCCACCTTCCACGCTCTCCCTCCTGAGAGGGTGCGCTGGAATGGCCCTGTTGCGGAGGGTTCGGTCTGACCCGACTCTTGGAGTAGGTGGTGTGTCCATACCCAGGGGAGAGAGGCGTGAATGTACCTGACCAGTGCCAGCGTTGCACTGCCATCGGGAGGGCTGAGCTGGAGAGAGGGCGCTGTCACTTGAGCCCTTCACTTTACGTCCCCAATCCCTCCCTCGCCAGGCCGGGTTTGAAATCGCCACTCCTGTGGAGTTAGAGTGAACGCTGTGGGGTTGGCGGTCCGTGCTGACCGCTCCCCGGATTGGTTTCATGTGGAGTCGTATTTCGATTCTGGCCCTCTAGTAGCCTAAAGATAGAAGCCAGAACCCTATAACTAGTGTGTTGGGGAATTGGACCTTATTTGGGGTGCATTTGGAAGCATCCTACTTATGGAAGAGGAGAGAGCAGCCACCTGATGCATCTCGAGTTCAGAGGTTGTGGGTTTTTCCCCCTAGTTTTCATTTGATTTTTTAAAGCACTGTGTTCGGTTATGAGAATAGTATTTGGTGACTTGGATGTCTTTGGACAAACTACTAGAAAATGTTTCATAAATGAACTATGAAATCTACGCTTTAAAAATTATATATTTTATTTTTGAAACGTATGTTCCTCTATCCCGAGCTAGGTACGTTAGCAGTGACAACACTGCTGAGAAAGGCAGCAGCAGTGAAACTGATTTATATGAAAGTGTATGAGCTCAACTGTGTGCCTGGCTGTGAACAAAATCCACCTTATTTTAATACTTAATAGTACTTGCCATAGACATTGTGTAGATAAAAAGAGAAGTTCTTTATTTTTTCAATTAGGGAAAGTGTACATTGTTGAAACAGGTGTCAAAACCTGATGGATTTCCTTATATAATAAGCTGAGAAAGATGAATGACTTATACTTTGGCAAAATAAATTTCCCAATAATAAATACAATTATATTTAATTGAAAAAGGTTTTAGGAAGCAATATCACCTTTTGGAATTAAGCTGCTCACAGTTAGAGGATATTAAAGGGATCCAATTAAAAGTTTCTCCAGCCCACTACAATCTCTGTTATGCTATTGCTTATATAAAAGCTTATACAATTTGTACACTTCACTTACTCAGAACACTTGGGCAGTGTTTCAAATGCAAAAGAACAGAATAGTAGGATTTGCTTAAAAGAACATCTTTCAATCCTACAGTATAAATAAAGGATATGGTTTTCTGATGGATTAAAAAAAAACTTTCTTGAATACTTTCATATGGGGTGTATGAGTCTTGAGTTTCACAGTAGTTAATTGGGGCTCTTAAATGCTCTGAATGGGCATTGAGTGCCTTGGTTGACAGCTCTACCAATACATTAGTTTGTAATTGGACTTTATTGGAGGCCTCGGCTCTACTATTTAAATCCCATGCTCAAAGTGGAATGCAAACTATTTTTTTTTTTAATGTGTGCATTTTATAACCTTCTAAGAAGACTGTGAATAGTTCTCTCACTTTGATTTGGGAAGTTTCAATATAAAATGTTTTCTTTTAAAGTTCCAATGCATTAAACAACCTCTTGGCTTTATAGTAACCAAAATATATGAAGTGTAGTAAAGGTAATTTATGTGTTGTAGAAGCCTAAATCATTGTGCAACATGGCTTTATGGGTAAATAATCTGCCTTCTGTTTTAAGATTAGTCAAATGAAAAAACAAACACAAAATGAAAAAAATTTGGTATCACCAGAATACTATGGTTTCTTTTCTATTATCATCTAATATGCTGCAATTCGGAAGACAGAAACTTTAAAAATTCTTTTTGAAAGTCTACTCAGTACTAGTCAATGTTCTGCTTTCTTTCTGGTGTCCCTTTATTTTATTGTTGTTGTTAAGTGCCATCGAGTTGGTTCCGACCTATAGCAACCCTTTATATGGTTTCCAAGGAGCAGCTCATGAACTTGAACCCGATTGCTTAAACTTAGCTTTGCCTGTCATGGCAAATGGAGGTCCTCATGGAAGCATATTACTACAACTGGTTTCATAGAAATGTTTTGGTCAAAATAGGAAATATCTCTTTCCCTATGAAGATTTAGCTTGGTTTTGCCTGCACACTCCCCACCACCACATGCATGTGTACGTGCACCTGCTATTGGATTTAGAGAAAATCGGATTCCATGTATTTTGTGGTGACATTAGAGAGGAGGAAGGAAGTAGTTTACATGTAAGAAGTATCACTTAACTTTTTTTTTTTTTAGTAGTGATTTGGTGTAAAGTGTTGAAATAGAAACCTGAATATTAAGAATAAATCAAAACCATACTATGAAATCCAAATGTTGGTATCCAGCATTTTGGGGCAGATTCTGATCTGTTGTACTTTACTTTTCCATTTGTCATAAAACTCTTGAAAATAATTAAGACATGTTGACTTCTTAACTATATACATATTTGTGCATACCCATTCAAACGTAAGTTTAGCATATTGTTGTTAAGTGCCATCAAGTCCGTTCCAACTTAAGTGACTCTGTATAGGGTCTCCAAGCAGCAGCTGGTGGGTTTGAACCACTGACCTTGTGGTTCACAGTCCAGCTTGTATTCTACAACACCACACCAGGAGTCCAAGTTTAGCACAGTACATTCTAAACTTGACTGAACTCCTTCTGTATTGGATGCCTGCCACCTGAGGATTGTATAGTTAAAGTGACTAGGTCTAGAAAATCACCAGAGGAAAATCATGGAACATAATTTAAAGCAAAAAATTTTATACTTGTAGAATATACATCTATACTTAAAGAATCACAAGGAACTCTTTAGAACTTTATTTGAGCAACAGAAAGAAGTTGGAACCCACCTGCTTCATAAAGAAACAGAGAAGCCCTTTTTTCCAACTTCATTGACTAAAGCAAACCCCTTTTAAATTTCAGAAGAACTGCTAGCAATTTGGCTGCAAATAAGTTTCTAGCAATTACATGGAAGAATTTTACCATATACTGCACTTTAACAGAATAGCATGGGAATATGGCCAAAGCCTTTGTCTTCCTCCCCCCCCCCTTTATATATTTGGCAGTTTAAGCAAAGACTTAAACCCTTTAAATTATTATTACTGTTACCTTTTACTTCTTAAATTTCCAAGCAATGCTTCTATGAAAACTCTAGACACTCATCTTATTTTTAAAGATAACCATTTAAGGGAAAAAAAATGTTAATTTTCCCTTGGTATTAAATATTGACCAAGATTAGATTGTATTTAAAAAGTATATATATATATATGAGCAGACTTCAAAAAGTTCATGGAAAAATTCTATTTTAACTCCATTTTCCCATGATGTTTTTGATTGATATCAAACTGCATCTTTGGAAATTGTTAAGTGCCGTTGAGTCGACTCTGACCCATAGCGACCCTGTACAGGGTTTCCAGGTAACAGCTGGTGAGCTTGAACTGCCAGTCTTGCAGAGCAAACTGACTTTGCAGTCCAGCTCATTAACCCACAGCACTACACCAGTGGTACAACAGACTTATTACATAGAATGGTAAAATCAAAAGAACATGATAACAGTATCACTTTTTTTTTAGACTAAACTATTAAATCTCAAGGAGCTCTGGTAGCATAGTGGTTACGAATCAGGCTGCGAACCTCAGGGTCAGCAGTTCGAAACTACCAGCTGTTCTGCGGGAGAAAGATGAGTCTTTCTGCTCCCGTAAAGATTTACAGCCTCGGAAACCCTGTACAGGGTCACTATGAGTTGGAACCAACTCCACGGCACATAACAACAACAACATTAAATCTGAAGTGATTTAAACGTCCAGTTTCATAATTTTCATTCTAGAATTTAAATTTTATCTATATAGGTAAAGAAAAAAAAATCAAAGTTGAGATTTCCTAATAATTCAATTTCCTGTTGAGGTGGTAGTGTTTGAGGATGGCTAGTATTCAGTAGGAAGCTTCTTAAATTGAAGTGTTCTGTATGACTGTCTTATCCTTTGGGGTTAATGTGTTTGAGAAAGCTATGGCCCATCTACCTTCTAGAAGTTTGCAGATGTCAGGTTAAGATTTTCACTTCTATCCAGAATGTGACCCTCATAGTTACCAGGCTCATTGAGTATTACATTGTCAGCTAAATACATACAGAGTGAGAAGGCAGAAGGCAGTTTTGAAGTTGGTCAAAACCTTTTGCTTTAGAGACATAATGGTTTCATTATTAAATGCAACAAATAGTTATCCCTTGTTAACACTGTTCTATAATCACTGACGTTTTTACTCAGTATTTTAAAAAGTAACTATCCATTGCCACTCAATAAACAACTGAGCCTGGCAATATCCAATGCAAAGTGATGCATCTTTATAATCAGAAACTAAGAGATAAAGACAGACTATAATCGTGAAGTGTTTTCTCTGCCATTGTGGATTGGTAGAAAAATTGTAGAGAAATTATTACATTTGGATTTTTCCATATAACTTTTTTTGATGGATACTATAACTTAAAATTTGGTACTTTCCTTGCACAATTACATTTTCCTTTCGTTAATGAAAAATTCTTAAATGAAAATTTTTAGTTCCCTAATTTTAACATTCATTTCCTCCTAAAATTTTTAAAAGCTGCACCAGGTTGGCTGTTTGTTTTGAAACATATTTGCGCACATATTTAGACTTAACTAAAAACAAATGCGGTAAACTAGAGATTATCATTTTGAAAAGGCACAGTGAGCATTAAAAAAGTGATCTGGTGTCAGCAAAATCAACAGATGCTTCAAATATATCTTTGTGCTGAGATGAGTTCCTTACTGGTAAGAGTGGAAGGTTTCCACAGGCCTTATCTCGGCTTTTCAAAGAGTAAAGAATATAATCTATTTAGCTACCATAGCTGCTTTACTGGAAACATATCATTAAGCACACAGAATCTATAAATATCAGTACCCACAGACCCAGGCCACATAAGCCCAGAGTCTCAAAATTTTGTGTTGTGTAGTAATCACTGCCCTCAAGGTATGTTCACTCTATAAAATGATTCATAATTCATTGTCAGAGGCTAGAGAATAGGAAAACCCTTGAAGAGAATCACAAGGAGAAAAAAGATATTTGACAAGTAATAAGGGACAAATCTAGCTGCCCATTTTTTCCCCTTGTAATGATTCAGTATATTCAGTATATATAGTATTTGACAAGGATCTCTGGTGATGCTGTAGGATAAGCACTGGACTGTTAATCATGAAGTCAGTGCTTCTCTGTGGGAGAAAGATGATGCTTTCTGCTCCTATAAAGATGCATAGCTTCAGAATCATTATACATCTTAGCTACCAGTTGTAATTGACTTGATGACAGTGGATTTGATGGGTTTGATTGTACTTGGCAAACTACTTTTAGCTCAAAAAAGTTTGATCCAACCTCAACTGTCAATTCTGAATATTAACTTATTTTCCTACTCTCAGAAAAGGTAGTGAAGAGAATAGAAAGAAAATGTAAAGCACATGTTTCAAGCACCAGGTCACTAATAATATATGCTAATGCATTTGTGTTTATTGGAATGCTGGTCAAGGACCTCAAAGTCATATTTAGGGTTTTCCAACTGAACTAGTAAAATTAGAATAAAGTTCACAAATAGAACTAATTTATTCTGTTGCACTACCTTCCAAAGAGGAATTCTTGATGTGTTAATTTTAGGGGGGAAGAGGGGAGTGGTTTTCTAATGATCACTTTATATCAGAAAGTAGTAGTTTTCATCTGAAACACTTGCAAACTTTTTAAAATGAAAAGCAAAAGTTGCTAGGCTATTGGAAAATCCTCTACAATTACATTAAAGCCAAAGATGCAAAATTGCAGGAAGGGATTCGCAAGTGAATGCAAAATATTCCTTAGGATTGACTTGGAAATCTGTCGGATTTGACCGTGGGCCTGCACGTTCTCCCGGTGGGCATCATGCGTCCCCAGTGCTTGTAGAAGATTGCACCACCTTTCTACTCCCACTCACGTTGTGCTTTTTTGCGGTCTTTCGAAGGTACCTACCAGGGCCAGTGGGCCGGCGGCATGAGGCATGGGTACGGTGTACGCCAGAGCGTGCCCTATGGCATGGCCACGGTGATCCGCTCGCCGCTGCGCACCTCGCTGGCGTCCCTGCGCAGTGAGCAGAGCAATGGCAGCGTGCTCCACGATGCCGCGGCCGCAGCAGACAGTCCAGCGGGTACCCGCGGTGGCTTCGTGCTCAATTTCCACGCAGATGCCGAGCTCTCGGCCGGGAAGAAGAAGGGCGGTCTATTCAGAAGAGGTTCCCTTCTTGGAAGCATGAAACTCCGCAAATCGGAATCCAAATCTTCCATCTCCAGCAAGCGCAGCTCGGTCCGCAGCGATGCGGCCATGAGCAGAATCAGTTCCAGCGATGCCAACTCCACAATAAGTTTCGGTGACGTCGATTGTGATTTTTGCCCGGTGGAAGACCACGTTGATGCCACCACCACGGAAACCTACATGGGTGAGTGGAAGAACGACAAGCGCAATGGCTTCGGCATCAGCGAACGCTCCAATGGCATGAAGTATGAAGGTGAATGGGCAAATAACAAGAGGCATGGGTATGGCTGTACCGTGTTCCCTGATGGCACTAAAGAAGAGGGAAAATACAAAAATAATATTCTGGTCCGTGGAATAAGGAAGCAGCTCATACCAATAAGAAATACAAAAACTAGGGAGAAGGTGGACAGAGCAATCGAAGGTGCGCAAAGGGCAGCCGCCATGGCAAGAACTAAAGTGGAAATAGCAAATTCAAGGTATGTAAATACTGGGCCAATAGTTTTGTTGGGTGGGTCAATCATGTGGGCTAACAGATAATGTTTGTCAGTCTGCTGGCAATACCACCAAAGAGGTTTTCAACAGCCCAAGATCAATGTTTGAAAATGATTAAGCCCAATAGAATGAGAATATCTGCAATGGACCCACTGTTCTGAAATTTATTTTCCATCAAAAATGTTGAAGGCACCTTTTGGCTCTCCTGTTACTCCCCTAGCATTAAATCACATGATGGAATTCAGCCAGACTCTTCATCTTCGTGAATCTTTTATTTTTTTAAGAATCCAACACTTCCCCAGAGAGCACTGTCCCATGAAAACATACCCAGTTTAAATGGGTACCCTTATTCTAATGTTTAAGTTGAACTGTGTACAACTCCCCTTAAAAGCTTACTAAAATGCATAGAATTCAGATTCTTTTTGTTGATGCTTTAGTAGATGAGATGGATTTTGAGAAGGCCATCAAGATCTAAATGTGGCAAAAATGTAAAGTTACATGACAAAATCTGCATGCGTTTAAAATAGCAGAATTCGTCTACATGGGAATGGTGTGGTGGGGTATGGGGAGGGACTGAGCCACCTAAGAACTGATGCGGTTTATGCAGAAAAGATTAGATCACTTGTATATTAAAAGGAAAGGGATGGGGGTGCGGGTAGCCTGACATGGACAGATGGAACTGTGAATATGCCAAGTTTGGGAGAAAGTAGAGCAGTAGGGAAGGGCTGAAGTAAGTAGGAGGAGAATGGGAGTGAATAATAGATGGAGAATGGGATGTATGTAGGCTCAAGGAAAATTTGCTTGAATTTTTACCATTAATAATGGAGTGCAAGGAAAACAAGAAAGGGATGGAGGCATCTTGGAAATGGAATTTTATTAGGAATGCATGTCATTTGTTACACACACACACACACACACACAAAACGGGTTTCTAAATGGACCTTTTTATTTTTAGGCTTATTTAAGTGGGTTCTGAGTGACCACAGGTTTGTGTGACCTGAGGCATAAATTTAGCACAGAATATTAAAAAATCCTTTTCTTGCTTCAGTATTAATACTCTTCTATAGACGTAAATGTCTTTTTGAAACCATACGCACAAAAAGTTAATGTCTTCAAGTTTTTACTCTTAGCATTAAGTTAATGAACACATTTTTTGTTTGGTTGAGCCATATGAAGTTTGTAATCCTTTTAAACTTTTTGATGTGCAGAAAAACGGTGACTTCGTATGGTTTAACTTAATGATTCCAGATTCCTGAAGTTTCTTTTCTGATTGTTCAAAGGCCCATATTATGAGATGATTAACTTCAAGGTATCCAAAGCACTAGTTGGAAATGGAGGGAGTCATATATTCTATGATGTGTGTAGGGTAAAAACTCATTGCGAGGGAGTTGATTCTGATTCATAGTGATCCTTTAAGACAGACTAGAATTGCCTCATAGATGGTAAACTTTTCACTAAAGCCAACTGCCATATCTTATTCCCATGGAGTGACTTCCGTGGGTTCAAACCACCACCAACCTTTTAGTTAGCAGTTGAATACTTCACCAACTGTGCTACTTGCTATGGATAGAGTACATTAAAAGTCTTTATTGTGTTTTCCATTTTTATTTAAAATTAATTTTATTGTCAAGTTAATATTTCCTGTTATTCAGCACAAACTTTCATAACGAATCTCTCCTGTCTTTTCTGCTGAACATCTTTTGTTTTAGATCATAATATTTTCTGATCACCAAACATTGACTCTACTTGCTTTTCACTTTGCTTATAGATAGGATACTGGGTACATATAATCTTGCTGGATTCCCTAGCCCTCTGCTTACTTTTAGAGGTGGTGATTTAACCTTTTGTTATGCGCTAGCATCCTGTGTTAAGTGCACTTCAGGATTCTAACCTTTTATTTCACTTTACATCCTAGTGATATGATAGAGGCAGTTCAGCCCTTGGCAGATAGAAAATAAACCTGCGAAGTACACTAGTCAATGACTTTCATATGCTTGTTGTAATTACTAACTTTTATGATTAGTTGAAAGTGACGAAATCTGCCTGACAGACCAGGAGGACCTGTGATGCAGACTTTCTTTGCTGACACAAGCATCATAAAACTCTTGACCTAGTCCTAGCCACATTTCTCTCCCTTGAAGCCTTTTTGAAGTCGATGGAGCATTGTCATATATATAATTGATTATCAGGAAATCTTTGGCATAAGACTTCACACTTTTTAGCCCGTTAACTACTTACAAAGATTGCGCTATTTAAAAACATTCAATACCTTTTTTTAAATAAAAGAAACCTTTTTATTGTGAATTGGATGAAGGTTTAAAGAGCACTTCAACAATTCATTCACATTTTGATTCATCTTATTCATTGCAGTCTCCACAATGAAACATCAATTGACCTCTTATATTTTATTTTCACTGTTTTAGTCCCATTTCCAGATTCCTTGCTTTAATGAATGCTTCCGAGGTAGTGTTTTGTGGCTTGTTTTTGGAGAGTGTAGCTGAGTTTAGCGTTCTGCAGCCTTAAACAAATGAAACAACAACAACAAAAATTCCTTTTTTAAGAAAATAAAAAAGCTTTTATTAATTTTTCAGAGATTGCTGCTTAGGGGAAAAAGTTTTAACTATACTGTTGTCCTAAATTATGATCCTGTATAACCCCTGAATATATATGCTCAGTTCTTCCCTCTAGCAGTTAATATGTTTTAGCTTTTAAAAATATCAAAAGCTTAAGAACATAAGGTTATACTCTCCCTCTCTCCCAGTCATGGCGAATAAAAGCTGGAAACTACGCAACTCCTGGCAGCTGCTGCTGTTGAAATCCCTAGTTCACCTTAACAGAAAAAAAGGAGATAATGGTCCATTAACAATTACTAACCATTTCAGTTTGACAGTCTACACAAACAGTGTTAATCATTATTCTATGTTGGTTCCTTTTTTTATGCTTTAGAGATTTTTGTGTGTGATGAGTGCCTAGGGAAATGAGTCTGCCTTTGTACCCTTACCCTACTTTATGTTACATTGGTTGTGAAGGAAAATAATTGTATCCTTCAATAATGTCTCTTCTGGGAAATCCAGGAGACATGCAATCAATCAGCTTTGATCTAAAGAGTCTGAAAAATATGGTAGCTCCATGGACCATTCCTTTGCTTCTCTGAAGAAACAAGGAGGCATAGTTCTGAAAGTATAAGTCCCTCTTTAATCCTTAGAGAATAAGGAACAGAGAGAACAGTAAATAGTAGATATAACATGATAGATGTAGAATAGCTGGTAGATACAGGTAATTACGTAGATCAGCACTAAAAAAATGCAGACTGTAGGGATGTTAATTTGCTAAACCCTAAAACTTTTCTGTAGGTTTCTGTGCTGATTACCAAAGTACTATATTTATAAAACTTGACAAAATGTTTTCTTCCTCTCTTTTGTCTTGGTTCTGAGGGTGAAAATCATCACCTTGAATTGAGAAAGGGTCTAACCTTGTTTTTAAAAAAATGTTTGAGAAGAGAACTACTATGAACATTTCAAGAGCTTAAGCGTACAGTTTACTGTGTCTGCTCTGTGCCATGATATAATCCCAATGGCACTGTTTTTTAGATGAAGAAGATGTTGGGACCCGGGAGAGCTGAGCCTATATACAATGCCAGCACCCATGGGGGTCTTTAGTTGGTAAATCAGACACTCTTGAGTCACTGGAGTGTTGTTTATTAGTACATTATAGCTAGAATATGGTCCCCAATATGCTGAATTTACTTCTCAGAAAATACATCAGGCAGAATCTGTTTGAATAGAGATGACTAAAAGCCATGTGGGAGAGTATGAGAGCATGTCAGGTCTAAGTCCCCCTCTTGTAGAGGCCTAGGACCACTCCAATCCCCTGACCTTTCAATTACATTTGTTATGTGGCCAATTTTTACTCCATGAGCTCTTGCCTCCAGTAGTTCTTTCAGGCATCTATTGAACGTCTTCACTTCATTCAAATACAACTTCATTTGTTTTTCTTACTTGGTCAACTTTTATCCCATCTCCTTTTATCTCCAGTATTGTTGTTAGGTGCTGTCCACTCGGTTCTGACTCATAGTGACCCCATATAGGTTTTCGGGGCTGTAAGTCTTTATGGGAGCCGAAAACCTCATCTTTCTCCTGTGGAGAGGCTAGTGGGTTTGAACTGCAACCTCGTGGTTATCTGTCCAGTGGTTATCCTATCCCACCAGCCTTCTTATATCCAATAATGTTTTTAATTAAAGATCTTAAAAAACTTTTTATTGTGAATTGGGTAGATTTACTGAGCTAGAAGTATTCAAAGACTTTAACTGTTTGTGAGAAAAATATTTTAAAGGTTTTCAGGTAAAACCTTTGGTTGAGAAAGCAAGTACAAATTACCCTTAGAGAACCACACTTTAGTGGAAATGAACATGTCATTTACAAGGGGTATGAATAAAAGAGCTTTGCATGGTCTGAGCCATTGAAGTAATTATTATCATCCAAGATGATCGAAAATACATAGTAAAAGGAATGGGAGAAAGCTGTCCTTAAGTGGTTGAGAATCACCAGTGTTTAGTGACAAACTTCATTGCTTCATAGGATTGCTGTTGAATCAGTTCCGACTCATAGCATCCTTGTATAGGGCTTCTGAAGAGTGGCTGGTAGGTTTGAACTGCCATCCTTTTGGTTAGCAATCCAGTGCTTATCCTACAGTGCTACACCAGGACTTGTACAGAGTTGTTGTTGTTAAATGCCATTGAGTCGGTTCTAACCCTTAGTGACTCTGTATAGGGTTTCCAAGGAGTGACTGGTGGGTTTGAACTTGACAAGCTTTTGGCTAGCAGTTTATCCTGCAGCACTACAGCAGGACTCTTGTTTCAGATTAAGAAGAAAGAAAAGAAAGTGGGATGCACGAGAGTTAGTAGTAACTAATGATTAATATACTCAGCTGCTAACTGAAGGGTTGGGAGTTTGAGTCCATTCAGAGATGGCTCAGAAGAAAAGCC